ACATTCTCTTTTTTCTCATTTGCTCTTTTTGTGTACTTTCTTTTCCTTAGCATGGAAATCCAAACATTGCATCAAAATATACATTGGAGTCCTGATATAGCACAACAACCAGCCTACGCTGCGGATGATATTGATTTTGAAAGTGGGAATAGCACTGCTAAATTGTATGAGAGATCTCGCATAAAGGCTCTAGCAGGTATGTTTCTTCACTACTACTATTATTAGATGAGCGCGAATATGTTCAGAAGAAAACCTTCACCAAATGGGTCAATTCACATTTGGCTGCGGTATCATGCAGTATTGAAGATCTATATATAGACATGCGCGATGGAAAGATGCTTTTGAAACTCTTGGAAGTACTATCGGGAGAAAGGCTTCCCAGACCAACAAGGGGAAAAATGAGAATTCATTGCCTTGAAAATGTTGACAAGTCTCTTAACTTTCTAGGTGAACAACATGTGCACCTGGAAAATGTTGGAGCACATGACATCGTTGATGGCCATGCTCGGCTCACACTTGGTCTTATATGGACAATAATTCTTCGTTTTCAGATACAGGATATTATGGTTGAGGAGTACCAAACTAGTGAGACCTTGTGTGCTAAAGACGCTCTTTTATTGTGGTGTCAAATGAAGACTGCCGGCTACAACAATGTAAATGTCAGGAATTTCACGACAAGCTGGCGTGATGGACTTGCATTTAATGCACTCATCCACAAGCATCGTCCCGATCTCATTGAATATTCCAAACTCTCGAAAGCTACACCAATAGAAAACCTGAATAATGCCTTTAATGTTGCAGAGAGCAAGCTTAAAATCTCTTCTCTTTTGGATGCTACAGATGTAAATAGAGATCAGCCAGACGAAAAGTCCATAATTACTTATGTTGTTGCCTATTATCATCACTTCAACAGAGTCAAGGCTGCTACAGTTCATTCTAAAAGAATAGGAAAAGTCGTAAACCAGGCTATTGAGGCTAATGAGATGATTAATCAGTATGAACAGCTAACCTCTGATCTGCTTGATTGGATTGCAAGTACTATTACACTTTTGAATGATCGAATCTTCGCCAATTCTATGAGTGGTGTGCAGCA